GAGGCAGGAGGTACAAGTTACCGGACTCTGCAGCCACAGCAGCTGCTGTGATTCTCCAGCCCCCAGAGGCACACTCCCTTGTCTCTCCAGACAGATGGATGCCAGCAACAGAGGGGGAAGGGATCCCCATCCAGTCCAACCCTTTGTAATTCAGGAACCACAATGGAAGCATCAAAAATTTCCCATAAAGGAGAGTCCTTTCCCTTTGGAGTGAGTCCCCTGCCCCACAGGCACCCCCCCCCAAGTGCTGTGTGTGTGTTTACGGTTCCTTAACTCGAAGCTGGAAAGGGCACAAAGGGTGCTGGGAGGTGGGTGCTTTGAAAGAGTGGCGTGAGGGCAGTGCCAAGGAGTGGCTGCTTCTCCACACTCACCAGCTAGACTCTTGAGATCCCAAAGCCACACATGGACCCCCCCTTTTGGCTCAGATGGTCCTGCAGACCCAACCTGAGACATGGGAACACATGGGGGGCTGGCGGGGGGCTTGCTTGTTTATGCACAGCGCCCAGGACGGGGTTTGGTGTTTTATGGTCATTGAACTGGGAGAACAATGGCAGAGGTGGAGGAAGAGTGAACTTCTGGTGGCTCCTGTCCTTGTAGATGAGCCTCCATCCCAGAGAGGGCTTTCCAGGTGCGAGGCTTCAGAGCCTGGGCTGGCCTGGCCTGCTTTGCCGTGGCCCCTTGGCGCAAGCAGGCAAGCCTCTGCCAGGGCCACTTCCTCCCAGGGAGAAGCTGCAGGCCCAGACCTGGACTTCTCCTCCCGCCATCCCACTTTCGTGGCGCACGTGGGGCGAGCGAGGGAGCAGCCTCAGAAGCAAAGGCTGGGCCAGGGCCCTCGGAAACCTCCTTGTGCCAGGCCAGCTGCCTCCTCCTCCCGACCCACAGCAGAGGGAGAGCGGCTGGTGCAGGCTCTGCAGCAGGGCCAGGCCAGGCTATTCTTAGTCCCACAGGCCTGGGGGGTCCGGAGTGCAGCAGCAGCAGCAGCAACAGGCTCCTCCACCAGGCACCCAATTGACTGCCAAACAGCTGCCCCTGCCCCCCCACCGCCCCCAGGCTGCAAGTGGGGCTGTCTGGCCTCTCCACCAGGCTGGGCACAATTGGGAGATGGGTGGAGTTTCCAGAACTCTCTTTCTAGGCTCCATTAAAACAACAACAAAAACCCAACCATCATTTTTCGTGACGTGCACACAGGAGCCAGAGGCAGCTTTGCCATACTTCTCCTCTTAATTGGGGGGGGGGTCTTTCCAGGGAAGAACCACGTGGGAGCCCCCATTTCGGCCTCTCAATATGGCTGACATTCTGCTGCAAGGGCAGAAGCTTCTGTCACTCTCCTGCCATTCGAAATATTTGCATAAATAGTTTTTATTGTTTTGCACCATGATGTCAATGTTTGCTGTGCCTTAAGCAGCTGAATTGCAGCCTGGGGCTGAGAGTGGGGGCTTTTAAAGTGGGGCACCCTAAACTCTGGCAATGCCTGTCTGGCCCAGTGGGGCTGTCACCCACCAATTAGCCTGCTCTGGTTTTTAAAAGGCTCTTACGACTGTTTTATTCTGATGGGCATTTCTTATGCTGGAGCCCTGAGTGCATTTTTATTTAGTTTTGCACAGCTGTTGATTGTGTGATTTTTTAAAATTTTGTGGAAAAAATACAAAAGGGTATCTGTCAATACAGAGATTACAAATGTAACCATTAGAACAAATGCAGGAATTCTACCCCCTTTCCCCTATTGTGGCTTCAATATTTCTAACAGATTTTCTCAGTAGTATAATATATAATATATATTGCATAAAATTGCTCTCTATTTCAGGCATTAGTGAGTACAAACTAGCTTAATTTTTTTAAAGGAAAACATTAATAACATAGAGCAGTACATGGTGATGTTTTCTGCTGCTGATTTCACTTGGTGCTTTTTAAATCAGGTCTGGCACCTTTTCTGTTGTGATTTGTAGTTCTGTTTGTAAGTTGCCTTGAGTTTGATTCTGTCATAGAGAGGGTGGGCTGTGGGTGTCCTAATTAAAAAAGAATAATAAGCATAACACAAATTGTGAACTGCTTTGTGTGATTGAAAGTAAAAAATAATAATATTGTGGTGGTGGGGAGGGCTGGGAATGCCCCACTCCTGCCAGGACTGGAAGTGCTTAGGGGGAAGACGTGATCCAGAAGCAAGTGTCTCAGCCATTGGGGGGGGGGAGCTCTAGGTTATGCCTGGCCTGACCAGCACTCAGCTAGTAAACTGAGGAGATCATCCTCTCTGCACACAGAAGGTCACGGAGAAGAAACATACAGGCCTGAAGCTCTGGAATGGTGTAATGTTGGAAAGTGTCAATCACTTCTCCTACCTGGGCAGTTATCTTTCCACAAGGGCTGACACTGATGCCAAAATCCAACATCACCTGAGCTCTGCGAGTGCAGATTCGTTTACAAAGCTATTGTACTACCAACCTTACTGTACGCTTGTGAAACATGGATCACTTATAAAGGCCATCTCCAACTCCTCAAAAGATTCCCTCAATGATGTCTCAAAAAAATCTTACACATCACTTGGGAAGACAGGCGAACAACTTCGTTGGACTGGTCATGTTGTTTAGATGCCTGACTATCGTCTTCCAAAGCAATTACTCTGTTCCCAACTTAAGAATGGAAAGTGAAATACTGGTGGACAACAAAAGAGGTTTTAAGACACTCTCAAGGTAAATAAGCACAGTGTTATAAGCACTGATAACTGGGAAACACTGGCCAGTGAGCGCTCCAACTGGAGAACAGCCTTCACCAAAGGCATCATGGACTTTGGAGACACTCGAACTCAGGCGCAAGGGAGAAATGTGCTAAGAGGAAGGCATGCTTGGCAAACCCTCACCATGATCAACTCCCACCTGGAAACCAATGTCCCCACTGTGGAAAGATGTGTGGATCCAGAATTGGCCTCCACAGTCACTTCTTGTTGTTTAGTCGTTTAGTCATGTCTAACATATCCGTCTCTTTGTGACCCCCTGGGACCAGAGCACGCCAGGCCCTCCTGTCTTCCACTGCCTCCTGCAGTTTGGTCAAACTCATGCTGGTAGCTTCAAGAACACTGTCCAACTGGAAGACACAAGATTTACCCACCCGGGAAGAATGGCAGATGAAGTTGATGGACTATATGGAACTGGCGGAAATGACTGGCAGAATCCGAGACCAGGGAGAAGAGTCGGTGGAAGAAGACTGGAAAAAGTTTAAAGAATATTTACAGAAATACTGTAAAATTAATGAATGTTAGAAGAATGTTGGATTGAAGTTATATGGCTTTAGTAGAAATGTTATAAGGAATTAAGTATAAATAGATTAACAGAATATTAAAGGGAAAAATAAGGTTAGAATGTGTTAAGATAATTATAGGATAGAAAACAGAGGAAGATGGAAAGGAATTGCTGAAACAATTAACAGAAGTCGAATACAAAAAGGGAGGTGTGAGGAGGTCGCTGAAATAAGTCAATGAAAGATAAGATATTGAAATTGTTTGATGTGTTTTAAACTGTTTTTGTTTTGTTTTGTTAGTTTAATGTGTTAGTGTTATGTAGTGTTTCTGTATTGTATTGTTCTTTTCTTTTTTCTTTTGTAGTGTTTTCTTTTGTAGTGTTTAAATTGTTGGAAAAGGAATAAATATTATTTTTTTAAAAAAGAGAGAACACTGTCCAGCCATCTCGTCCTCCGTCGTCCCCTTCTCCTTGTGCCCTCCATCTTCCCCAACATCAGGGTCTTTTCCAGGGAGTCTTCTCTTCTCACCACAGTCACTTACGGACACGCTATTAAGACCCTGTTCATGGGAGACAATCTTACTCAGTTATGAGTGATCGCCAAAGAAGACTAAACGAAGCACCAGGATACTGGAGGCTCCGCATGAGAGGGACATCATATTTGGCCCTCTGAGAAGAGCCAGAGGAGGGAGAACGAACTCCATAATGATTAACAGGAGCAGCGGCTGCCGTCGAGCTGGGAGGGAGCTGGAGGAGAGCTGCGCCACCGCCTCAGGATCAGCCCCTCGCTTCGGAGCACGTGCAGAGTGGTGACCCACAGCTGCAGCCGAGGGCAGCCTTCGCGGGCCAAGGAGCTTGGCGGCGGCACGCAACCCTCGGGCACGACAGCTTGGCAAACGCCCCGCGCCCGCCGCCTCCTCGTCGTCTTCGCCGCAGCTGCTCGGCAGATGCTCCCCGCGGCCCGCCAGCCCCTTTCCGGAGAGGCTCGGGGGAGGCAGGCGGGGCTGGGGAGGGGCCTGGAAAGGAGGAGCCTCTCCGGCCCAGCGCGGGGGCCAGATGTGGCCATTCGCAAACTCTCTGCCCATGGCCCGGGGCACGCTCGGCTCCACCGTACGCGCCGTCGAGGGGGCGCGCCACCAGCGTCCCCCGGACTCCCTGGTGTGGCTCTCCAGACCCGAAGGCGCCTCTTCGGCCCCCACGATCCTCTGCAGGGCCGGATTGGGGTTTGATGAGGCCCTCAGCTCCTGAAGGTAATGGGGCCCTTTTACATGTCCAGCTGTCCTTTGTCAGCAACAAATTGTCGCTGTTTTGTGTGTTGAATATATGCTATATGGCAATTTATGGACCTAATAGGAGCCTACACAACACAAAACACTCTTCCTGTATGTAGGTTTTTGTTTTTTTATATTTTTAAAATATTTTTTATATTTTGGAAATGTACATCCAAGTTTTTTTCTTTACATTTTCTGGTGGGACCCTAAGCTATAGCTTGTGTAGCTTATACGTAAATCCGGCACCGATCCCCTGCCCTGGCCCCGACGGCAGGGGCGGGCTTCGCGGCAGGGCTGCCCCGAGGGAGCGGGCGAGCCGCCTGCGTCTCTTCCAGGCCCGCTTTGGCCCCCGCAAGGCGCAGCCTCTTCGGCCGGGCAAGGGCAGCAGGGCTGCAGGTCCCCACTGGACGCCCGTCGGGGCAGAGACCGGCCGTCGCGGAGCCTGGCGCGGGCGAGAGGGGGCGGGGGGCAGCGGCCCTCGGCGCGCGCCAATGAGAGCCTTTCCTGCCGTCGCCGCCTGGCCAATGGGCGCGCTGCGTCGCCGTCGCCATGGTAGCGGCCAGCTGGGCCCCCAGTCCGTGTCTGGCGTCTCCGCGACAACGTCTCCGGACCCCCCACCCCGAGCGGCGCCGGTCGGAGGGATGGAGGCGGAGGGCGGGTGAGGAATGGAAGAAAGAGAGGGAGGCGCAGAGGGAGGGGCCGCCGCGCGGGGCGGGGGAGGAGGCGAGGATACGCCGAACACGTGTCTTTCTGCTCGTGTGAATGGGGGCCGCAAGCTGGTGGGTGGGCAGAATCAAAAGTGGGCGCCACCCAGGCAAGCAAGGGGCATCCTCACAGCAAACTCTAGCCAGGCAAAAGCCCTTGAGAAGGGCACAGAGCAGGGGTGGGGTGGCCTGCTGGGAATGCCAAGGGCCAGGCAGAGGGACAGGGAAGGCCACATTTGGCTCCAGGCCTGCCTTAAACTGTTTGGGAGCCCATTATTTCAAGGACTGCCCACCCCGCAGGAACCTGCCCATGTTGAGGTGGGATTTGGGAGGTTTCACTTGGGTGTCCTCCTTTAAGATTCGGAATCCCCTTCCTAAAGCTCTGCAGTTGGAGTCATCCTATGTTGTGAACCACCCTGAGATCTACAACTAAAGGGCGGTATACAGATTTAAAAAATAAATACCAGCCCCATGTTTTCCCTGACCTTCAGTTAAAGACTCTATAGGTTGCAGCAGGAATCCCCCCCTCCCCCATGAAATTATGAGGCGAAGCCTGGCTTTAATTACATTTATTGCTGTATGACTTTGACTTGGTGTTCTGTGTTATGCAGGGGCAAAACTAGGCTTTATTTTATCCAGGTCAAAGACCCAGTTTGGCACACATACCTCATGAATATTTTGCGTACACACACACACCCAGCCTGGGAGCCTCAATTCCACCCCTCTGGAGGCTTCACCGGGTCAACAGAACCTGGCTAGCCCCCCCTCACAGCTATGGCACTGCCAGGCCTCCCACCTGGCTATCTTTTTGATGAAGAGCAAGATGCAAATTTTTAAAATAAACAGAGTTTCTCATTTTCTTTCTTGGAGCGAAGGGTCTGTGCCATTCACTTTTCTGCCTGGAGCAGAGCCGAGTCTGACTGCCTTTTCCCCTTCCTGAACCTGTGCAGGTCCCTGGCTCCCGCCCTTCAAGGCCCACCTGCGCCCAGCGATGGAGAGGCAGCAGTGCCTCCTGGCCCCGAAGCCCCCTGCTGCGTGGCGGAGCCCCCTCTGTGCCCGGGAGAGGAGGGGCAGGAGGCGGCGGCGGTGTACGGCCCCAAGGAGATGCTGCCTGAAGACCCCCCGGTGGTGGTCCGCACCCCAGCCTACTCGGTGGAGCTGCCTCCCTGCCACGGGGTCCCGGGACCCACTCTTGGGGAGCTGCCGGCCACGGAACAGGAGGCCATCCCCGTCATCCCCCTAGAGCCCATGAGGGAGCTCCCCATTCGGGGAAAGTGCCTGATCTACAACTGGCAGGAGGAGGTAAGGTTGCCTGGGCTCCACACCCCTGGACTGGCAAGGGGGGGTGTCACCAGGGAATTCCTGTTCCCTTCTCCCCCTGCATTTCCCAAGTGAAGAGACAGCCCCACAGCAGCAGCAGCAGCAGCCCCTATGCCTGGGCGTCGGGCGCCTGGCGGCCATCTAGTTCAAGCCCCTGCAGTTTGGGAATCACAGCTAAGGAACCCTGGACAGGTGGCTACTCAACCTCTGTTTTAAAAGGAGAAGGAGAGTCCACCAGATTCCAAGGGAGTCTTTTCCACTGCCAAGCAGCTCTTACGGTCAGAAATTTCTTCCCAAAAATCTTTAATAATAAAAATAAATAAGTAAAAAAGAAAGTTCTTCCCAATGTTTAGTCGGAGGTAGATGATCTATGGAGGCACACAGACCCAGCAGCAAATCCTCATCTGCACCAGATAATAATAATAGTAATAATAATAGTAATAATGATGATGATGATGATGATGATAAAAACCCCGCCCATCTGGCTGGGTTTCCCCAGCCACTCTGGGCAGCTCCCAACAGAAGACATCTGAAGGCAGCCCTGTTTAGGGAAGCTTTTAATGTTTGATGTATTACTGCATTTTAATATTTGGTTGGAAGCGGCCCAGAGTGGCTGGGGAAGCCCAGCCAGATGGGCGGGGTATAAATAATAAAATTATTATTATTATTATTATTATTATTATTAAACACGATAAAACATCAGACATTAAAAACTTCCCTAAACAGGGCTGCCTTCAGATGTCTTCTAAAAGTCAGATAGTTGTTTATTTCCTTGACATCTGATGGGAGGGTGTTCCACAGGGCAGGCACCACTACCGAGAAGGCCCTCTGCCCAGTTCCCTGTAACTTCTCTTCTCACAGTGAGGGAACCGCCAGAAGGCCCTCGGTGCTGGACCTCAGTGTCCGGGCAGAACGATGGGGGTGGAGACGCTCCTTCAGGGATACTGGGCCTTTGAGGCCGTTTAGGGCTTTCAAGGTCAGCACCAACACTTTGAATTGTGCTCGGAAACGTACTGGGAGCCAATGTAGGTCTTTGAAGACCGGTGTTATATGGTCCCAGCAGCCACTCCCAGTCACCAGTCTAGCTGCCCGCATTCTGGATTAATTGCAGTTTCCGGGTCACCTTCAAAGGTAGCCCCACATAGAGCGCATTGCAGGAGCCCAAGCGGGAGATAACTAGAGCATGCACCACTCTAGATCAGATCTCCAGAGAGAGTGAAGAGAGAGACCCCTGCCCACAGCACCACAAAACTCCCTTCAACCTTCAGCTAACTCTGTCTCCCCAAAACCTCGTGCCTCAATTCTCCTGCGTGGGCTGGCTTGGTCGTGGTTGCCATTCTGGGCAACTGGACTATATTTCCCTGACATGCCTGGTTCAGCTTTCCCTGTGGCTGATTAGCATCTACAGCCTTTAAAATTTGTTGGGGGGGATATTGTTTTGGTTCGATTTTGTCCTACTTATTTTGTGCTTTTATCCTGTATCTTGTGAACCGCCCTGAGATCTTCAGAGGAACGGCAGTATATACATTTAATAAATAAAATAGAAATTAAAGGCCCTCTTCCCTGCTGATTGGGGAAGGACTCTCTAGGGATCGGGCAAGGGCTGTGGGGTGGCTGGGCTAAATCTGCTGCCCCTCGCTGCCTAAACGGAGGAGTGCCCTGAGTGTGCCAGGAGTACCCAGGGGGGAGGGAGCAGCTGGCAACCCCCTGCCCTGCCCTGCCCTGCCTAAAGGGTTCTCTGGCTAACCTGCAGCCACCCTCTCTGCCCTCTTCCAGAGAGCCACCAACGACCTGGACCGCGTGCCCTGTCCCGAGTGGGGCACAGAGGCCTCCTTCTACCGGCACGGGCACCGGGGGCTGCTCACCCAGCAGTTTCTGGCTGGCCTAAGCAGCACCACCACCATGAAGGACGCCTACCGCAGGCCCTGGAGGACTGGGCTCCCCATAAGAGGTGAGGATCTGGGGAGGGAGTGGGGGGGGGGGGCAGAGCCAAGAGCGGCCTTTCCAGACAGCCAAGGAAAAAAACTTTGCCACAAAAGTGTTTATTTTTTGCTTTCCGGTTTCTCCTCGTTAAGCAGACAGACACTTTTTGTTCTTGGGTCCAGACCCGCCCAAAGCACACCCACCTCCGGCTCTGTCCCTGACCTGGAGGGCTCTGACCACTCAGCCCTCCTGCAGAAATGGCAACACGAGGCTGGTGGGTGGTCTCTGTGGGTCAAAGCCCCTTCCTCAAAACAGGGGCTCCTCCTTGGCCTGAACTCAGTCAGATACGGGCCTTAAATGCCTTCGAAGCATAGAATTGTAGAATCAGAAGGGACCCCGAGGGTCCTCTAGTCCACCCCTGCAAGGCGGGAATCTCGGCTGAAGCATCCATGACAGAGGGGCCCCCAAGCTCTGCTTAAAAGCCCCCAAGGAGGGAGAGGCCACCACCGTCCAGGGGAGACTGTTCCGCTGCCAAACTGCTCTTGCCATCAGAAAGTCCTTCCTGAGGTTCTGAGGTTCACTGGGTATCTCCTTCCTTGTCACTTGAATCTGTTGCCTCAGCTCCTCTCCTCTGGAGCAGCAGAAAGCCAGCTTCCTCCCTCTTCCATGGGGCAGCCCCTCTGGGGGCCCTTCCAGGCTCTCCGGTGTGGGCTGCCTTGAAAAGCACGGGAATGATGACGTTTTTACCTTTAGCTCCTCCTTTCATTGCTTTGAGTCTTCTTCCGTGTTTCAATTAAGCCCATTTCATTCCTGTTCGCTGCCCTGAGCCCTCGCAGAGCTGGGGGGGGGGCAGCAGCTCCACCTCCTCCCTCCAATCTCTGGGGGTCCAGAGTGTGAGGGGCCACAGGCTGGGGACCCTTTCCATGGGGCTTCCTGGAGGAGGGGGAGCCTGCCCAGCTGCTCTGGGGGGGGGGGGCGTTGGCCTCTTGGACGTCTCCAGCTGCCACTCAGGCAAAGCTCTTAGCAGCCTGTGCCCCCACCCCCCAGAAACTGCTTCCCCCACCCCAGTCTAAATCAGGCTTCTCAAGAGTCACCCGCCGTAGGCTCCAAGCAATTGCCATGGGTGCTGCAATGGGCTCTTCCTTCCCTTGTGGGTGCCTTTCTCCCAAGGCTTCCTTGCAAGGCTGAGCTGGAGTCACTGGCAAAGCCCCCGAAGGCCACCTGGGCCCCCCTCCCCTCAACCTGACCGTCTTCTCAGAGTGATGATGTTGGAGCTTCACGGCTGAAACGGATCATTGTGAGGCCTGGAGAGATGTAACCTGAGCTTACCTGGGTGGATCACCTTTGCATTCGCACCCTGAGCTGCTTTGTCTCATATAAAGAGGAAAGAGTGAAGCCGTCCCTGACCTCTTGCCTGAGTCCCCCTTTCCTGGGGAGCTTTTCCCCACTGCCCCTCACAGCCACCCCCAGCCCAAGCCCACTGGGTGGCCTTTCTGTGCAACATTTCTGTAGCCTGCTGGGGATTTCACCACTGCTAGTGGATCAGGCCAGTGACCCATCTAGTCCAGCCTCCTGTTCTGACAGTGGCCCACCTGGGGGGAACCATCAATCAGGATTTGAACCCAAGCCCTCTCCCCTCCCATGCTTTCCAGCAACTGGGATTCAGAAGCACTGCTGCCAGAGCTGAGCCATTGTGGCTTCGAGCCCCCAATATCCCTCTTGCCCTCACATCGCCTTTTCAAGCCATCCAAGCCTCACTGCCTCATGTGGAAGGGAGTTCCATAGTTTAACGGTGCCGCATGAAGGACTTCCTTTATCTGCACTGAATCTTCCAACATTTAGCTTCGTTGGACACCCAGGAGTTCTGGTGTTAGACCAAAATATAAGCCCCGAGAGAGGGGGGGGAAGAGCCCTCCCCTGGCTTGTAGCTCAAAGACGTCACTGCTGCCCAGGGAGGCAAAGGAGACTGGCATGTGTGAGGTGCAGGCAGAGGAGGACACCCTGCTCCCCCCTCTCCCCACCCACTTGAGGCCCTGTCCTGCCTTCTGAGATCTGACCTCCTTCCTTGTCCTCCTCCCGCAGGGCAGCGCGAGGCTATGCTGGAGTGGCTCCTGTACCAGAAGCACAGGTGAGCAGCGGGCAGAAAGTCCAAAACACCAGGGCAGCAGGTGAGCCGTGGGTGGCCCCCTCCTCCGCCAGCTGGGCCTCCCCTCCTGCCTCTGGAATGGGCTTTGCAAGGCGAGAGAGGCTTCCTTCCCTCTGGCTCTGCAAGAGATTTGGGTGCTCCATTGTGCAGAGCTGCAGCTGCCCCCCCCCCCGTCTCACCCGCTGTGCCATCACCCGTTTCCCAAATGGCAGAGGCTCCGCCAGACCAGGAAGACTTGCTTTGGCGCTCAAGGGGGCAGTCCGTCCTTGGGCTTCCCTGCCCCAAGGCAGCCCTGGAGGAGAGGGTGTTACACAAAACAAATGAAATACCGTGAAAACCCCTGAAATGAGAAGTAATCGACTAGAAATATTATAGAATTAAACTAAATAACAAAAATCTAAAAGTTTAAGGAAAAAATTAGAAAAACCTAGAATTGAACAAAGCCTTAACTGGATGCCGGCTACAAACTTCGTTTCCTGAGTTTGTAATCATTTAAGGTTTATGATTTCTCTATTTCCTTCTGAGGAAACTGAATAGTTCAGTGAAACGAGGTTTGTAGCCAGCATCCCTTTAAGGCTTTGTTCAATTCTAGGTTTTTCTAACTTTTCCCTTAAACTTTTTGATTTTTCGTATTTAATTCTATAATTCTATCATTTAATTCTATAAGATAATATTTCTAGTTGATTACTTCAGGGATTTTCATGGTATTTCATTTGTTTTGTGTAATTTCCCGGTTCCGTGACTGTCTTTTTTCTACTAGATGAGAGGGTGGGCAGGTGGGCAGGTGCCCCCCAGTGGCGGTGCATATGCCCACGCTGCCCAGGGCAGGTGCTCTCCCGGGGGGGGGGTGTGGCACAGAGGGTGCCCTCCCAGGCGTGGGATAGCTGCTCAGGTGCCCATCTGCGACTCCCAGGCCTCCCCCAGCTATCAAAACGAAGTCGGCGGAATGCCACTGGCGAAGCAGTGCAGCTCCCCCCCCCTTCCCCCAATGGCTCGGGGCAGGCTTAGGAGTCGCAGGCGTGCCAAATGTCACCCCCCCAGGAAGACATCTGGGGCAGTCCGCCCCCACTGCACCCCCTTCCTCCGCCCCGGTTCCCCCTTGCCGGGAGCAGATTGAAGTGTCATTCCACGTCAGTTCAACTCAGTCATGCCACTCACCGTCTTGGATTTTGATGAAACTTGGTGTACACTCTTCCCTTGTGGTTGAAAGAAACCCCCCCAAGTTCCCCCCCTCTATCTCAAACGGTTTTAATTTTATAGCACTTAAAAGTTTAATCAAATCTGTGTTTCTGTCCCTCTTGAGATCCTCCATCTTGTGTGCATTTTATTTTTTTTCTCCATAACCAATGATCAGATCTTTTTGAAATTTTACATAGAGATCAATAACATGATGAGAATTTCAGGAAAAAATACACCAGCACTCAAAAGATTTTATAAATGCCTTAAAAAATGTATAAATGTAGCTTTTGGGGTGGAAAAAACTAGATTTAGAAAACCTAAATTTTCAGCGTTAGGGCACAATGCAATCAAAAGTTTTTGATGGTAAAAATTATTGCAAAGACATGTTCTTTCTCAGCAAAGAATAAAATTTATGGGTCTCTTATGTCTGATCATTCGTTATGGAGGGGAAAAAATGCACACAAGGTTGAGGAACTCAAGAGGGACAGAAACACAGATTTCACGAAACTTTGAAGTGCTATAAAATTAAAACCGTTTGAGATAGAGGGGGAAAACTTAAGGGGGTTTCTTTCAACCATAAGGGAAGGGTGAACACCAAGTTTCATCAAAATCCGAGATGGTGGGTGGCAAAACCCTTGTTTTTTGTGTTGATTTTATGTGGAATGACCCTGCGAGCAAGTGGGGACTGGGCACAATGGAGAGGTGGAAGCGAAGGGGCTCTCCGAGGAGTGGGACCAGGGCACGGACTGTTAAGCTGCCCACTTTGAGAGTGGCGTGGAAGGGACCTGGCGCCAAATGCCAGTGTGCCCCTTTCGAAGGAGCTGTTGCAGGGGGTTGGGCGAGGGGGTCCTTCTGATCCCTCCCAACCAGCGTGGCAGGTCAGGCGCCGTGAGGAGACCAGCGCATGCGGGAGACTTTCCTGAATTGAAGAAGGTGTTTGAAGAAAAGACCAGTTTGGTGGGAAGGCTGTGGGAAGCCTCCCTTCCTGGCCTCGACCCTTTCCTGGTAACTCCAGCCAAGGGACGGAAAAGAAAGCAGGGCAGGAATCTGTGCGTGGGGAATAACAAAAGCATGAGGCCTGGGGGCCGGATCCAGCCCCATCGCCCTTCTCAATCTGGCCCATGGACGGTCTTTTTACATCAGCGTCTTTTTACAATCAGCGTCTTTTTACATGAGCAGAATGTGTCCTTTTATTTAAAAATGCATCTCTGGGTTATTTGTGGGGCACAGGAATTCGTTCTTTTTTTCTTTTCTTTCAAAATATAGTCTGGCCCCCCACAAGGTCTGAGGGACTGTGGACTGGCCCTCTGCTGAAAAAGTTTGCTGACCCCTGAACAAAAGGATATTGGAGACCCCTTCCCTCTTGGGGTGCAGCCTCCAGCCCCCATGCCCCAGATCTCATGCTGAGCCTCGTGGGGGGGTCCTCCCTTCCCCCAGATCCCATAGGGCCAGAGAAGGGAGGCAGGTTTGGGGGGAAGATGGAGCTCTCTGCCCAATTTTGCTCCGTCTCCTTTGGGGTTGACGCAGCACCCCAAGCTCAGATCTTCCTGGGAAATCTCTGGTCCCTCAATGGGGCTCCCAGCGGCAGGGAACTGGACATTGCCCCCCCCATTCCAAGAAGCTGCTTCCCACCCCCTCTGTCTTTCTCTGCAGCAAGGAGCTGAAGGAGGAAGAGGACGACGGCCCCCCATGTGGACCCATGGATACCATCTCCACCACGCATGACCACTTTCGCAAAGAGGGCTTCGTGTCGGTGGCCCCTGCCCCCACCAAGGTGAGAGAGAGGCAGTGGCATGGGTGGGGCAGGAAAGCGCCCCCCCAGGGGCAGCCCCCCAATCCCCCCCAAAAGGAGGCTGCCATGTGACTCTTGCTCTCCCCCCCCAGCCCCACGACTACCGCCTGGAGCAGCCGCAGACCTTCTGGTTGGAGCACTGCCGACAGGTGCCGGTGAGTGGCCCCCCCCTCAACACCCCACCCCAAATGCCCTACATTCTCTCCCCCCCACCCCCCGTGGTCCTGACTTTGAAGAGGCTTTGGAGGGCACTGAAAAAGGAAGGGGAGCAGGAGTTGGGTTCTCTCCTCCCCCCCCCCTCCACCTGTTGCTTTCACTTGACAAGGCTGCCCCCCCACCCAAAAAAACAAGACAATGCTGGCTCCCTGACAGGCAGAGGGAGGGGGTGGCCCACAGTGGTGCATTTGCCGGCCCCCAGCTGCCTTCTTGCTGTTTCTCTCCCCCCCCCCCGCAGGGCGTCTCCAATATCCGGACTGGTGACACCCCCTTCAAGAAGTGTGCGACGTTCACGACCCCCACCACTGAATACCTCGACCAGCCGCTGCCCTACGGCCCAGAGAACTACCCCAAGCTCTAAGAAAATAAAGTGGGGCAGCTATTGGCAGATTGGGGGTGCTGCTGCTTGGGTCTTTTTCTCCCCTTGAAGCCCCCTGGCTGGGGGGGGGGCGCAGGATTTGAGGAGCTCCTGGACAGGCAAAGTGTGTCTCTCCATTTTGGATCTAGCAGCGGAGCCAGGAGAAGGAGAGCAGGGAGGGCTGCCCCCCCCCGGCACATTCTGACCTCCACCGGCCCCCTGCTCTGCCCCGGACAAATCGCAAAGGCTGCCCCAGGTTAAAAAGTCTGTATTTCGACAAAATACTTTGCACTATATTTACACCCGGAGGGAGGGGGGAGGAACAGCGGCGCTCTGGGTTGGCTCAGCCGGCTGAGTTGTGGCGCAGGATCCCACCTGCAAGGGGGGGGTCAGGAACCAGCCAGTCCCCCCCCCCCGGCTGGGCGTGGGGAGCACAAGCGGCCTGGGGTGATCCGTGCTCCGAGAGGTGCGCTGCCTCTCCGTGGGCTCCTGGGGCCTCCTTGCTGGCACATCTTGGTCTGGGCGGGGGCAAGGGATGGAGGAGGTGGCAAGACCCAGCCCTGGGCACATTCCCGGGGGGGGGGCCTCTCATCCTGCCCCTCCTGCCCCATCTTCTTCCTCTCTCTCTCTCTCTCTCGCTTTCCTCTCATGGCCGGGGGGACGTTATGGCTCCAAGTGCTTCCTTCTCTCGGTCGGCCCGCCTGTCTCTCATGGCTGGGGTGGGGGGGCCTTATTGCTCCAAGGCAAAGGGGAGTTTCGCTGGCTCTTGGCGGTGGGAGGAGCCTGCTGCCCGGTACCCGTAAGTGGGAGGAGTCACAGGAGGGGGAGGAGCCACATCAGATGACCACGTTCTTCTTCTTCTCGCCCAGCAGCCAATAGGTGCGCAGCTTGCCCTTCCCCTGGGGAGAAGAAGAGGCTCAGCCCTGGGACAGGTGCCCCCCCAAAAAAACCACCCGTGCCCCTCACCCAGCAGAAACCGAGGGGGTCGTGGCTTCCAGCATCTTGCCACAACTCTCCCAAAGGTCCAGGGCAGGAGGACTAGGAACAGCGACCTTTTCCTCTCTGGTGGGGGAGCCAAGGGTCGGGGGCTGCCTGGTGGGGTGGGGGCTGCCACACGGCTTCCCCTCCCTCCCTCCCTCCCACCCAACCAGGGAGGATAGAGACCCCCACCTTCATCTCCACATCCCCCCTCAGCTCCAGCTCAAAGCAGCCAAACTCGTCCAGGTTCTCCTTGGTGGTGCTGGAGACATGGATCTTCAAGGCTGGAAGACACAAGGGGGGGGTCAGGTGGGTCAGGGCCAGCGGGGCCCCCTCCTTCCTCCCCTCCTTCCCAAAACGGGGCCAGAAGAGACAGGTATGGGGCAGCCAGCATCCACATTGGGCTGGAGGGAGGGAGGAGGGACACCAGTTGTGGAGAATTCGTAGAACGGCAGTTGGGGGGCTCCCAAAGGCCCTCTAGTCCACCCCCTGCAATGCTGTGCAGCAGACACTTCAACAAGGCTGGGGGCGGGGTGGGGAGAGGGGGCTCACCCTCGCCACTGGACTCCATGCGCGACGCTGTGTTGACGGTGTCCCCAAAGAGGCAGTAGCGGGGCATCTTGAGGCCCACCACACCTGCGCACACAGGCCCTGCAGGCAGGCAAAGGGAGGCGGCGGCTTAGAATCGTAGCGTTCAAAGGGACCCCGAGGGCCATCTAGACCAACCCTCTTCAACGCAGGAACGGCAAGCGTCCCTGACAGACAGCCCCCCCGCCCCAACCTCTGCTCAAACTCCTCCGGTGAGGGACCTGCTGCAGGTGCCCCCGCTGTGCCAGGACTCACCCGAGTGGATGCCAACGCGAAGGCGCAGCTGCTCGTTGGGCCGGTGCCGGATGCGAAAGGTCTTGACGGCCTCGAGGAGAGCCAGCGCCATGCGGACGATCTCGTGGGCGTGCAGCTTTCCATTCCGGACCGGCAGCCCCGACACCACCATGTAGGCGTCGCCAATCGTCTCCACCTGTGGGGTGAACCTGTCAGGCCAGAAGTGGGGAGGGGGGCCCTCTTCCCTACAGCTATACGGTCCAATCCTGGCTCTAGTTTGGGGGCTGACGGACAGCTTTGGGTTCAACAGCCAGGACCCGCAGGCATGTTTCGCACCTAGACAGCTTTGGGTTCAACAGCCAGGACCCGCAGGCATGTTTCGCACCCACCTTGTAGACGTCGAAGTTATCAATGATGGCATCGAAGCAGGTGTAGAGGTCGTTGAGGAGGGTCACCACCTGGGGAGGGAGACACTCAGGTAAGTTGGGGGGAGCCAAGGCAGTGGGGCAGAAGAGGATCTTGGGGGAGAATGAAGAGATGGGGGGCAGAAGGGGCAGAGTTGCCAAGGGAGCCTGGGGGGGTGAGCTTCCAGGGGGAGACAGAAGAGGTTAAGTGAAAGCACCAGGAGGGGGACACAGACATCGCTAAAGGGCCACCTGGGGATTTTCACTACGGAGTCCCCAATGTGCTTTGCTTAGAGATAGAATTGTAATAATAATAATAATAATAATTAAAATAATATTTTATTATTATTATTTATACCCTGCCCTTCCCGGTTCTGAAAACTGGGCTCAGGGCGGCTAACAACAAATTTAAAACACTTAATTGATGCAACAAAAAACAGCATAAAATACAGTATAAAACATGAATAACAATACATTCAGAATTCAAAAATCAATTTAGGGCTGGAAGGGACCCCAGAGGTCCTCTAGCCTAACCCCCCAGGACTCACAGCTGAAGAATCCCTGGCAGGTGCCCACCCAAACTCTCTTGAAGGAGGGTCCTCCACCTTCCGAGGCATTTCCCCTTTGCACCTGATCCAAGGGAGGCAACATGTGGTGAAGGTAAAAGGAAAAGGACCCCTGGATGGTTGAGTCCAGTCAAAGGTGACTGGAGTTGCAGCGCTCATCTCGCTTTTCAGGGAGCCTGTGGCGTTTGTCCACAGACAGCTTTCCAGGTCACATGGCCAGCAGGACTAAACCGCTTCTGGCTCAACAAGACACCGTGTTGGAAGCCAGAGCTCATGGAAACGTCATTTTCCTTCCTGCTGTTAGAATTCCTGCTCTATGTGTGCAGTCATGGGATTGTTGTCCATCCCATGAAGGTATATGTTCTGACACCACAGAGTGGGAAGTGATGGAGACAGGATGTTTGTGTTCCTGTGTTCCGTGAAGTGGGGCTATTGTCCTTTGTACTTTCTCTCTTTGCTGTCTGATGCTAGAGAGAGAGGGAGCCACGTTGCAGTGCTCTGTGTGTTTATATGTAAATAAAGTCGATTAGCCAAAATGCTGAGTTGCAGAGGTCTGTTACGCAAACTGCGAAGACTCTGCGGATCCCTAAGTGTGCCGGTGTCGGTTGGCATCGGTCGCTGTGATGTTCGGGCAGAAGAAAGCTTTTGAAGCTCCGGAACGATCGACCAGGAGAGAGGGAACATGCCAGTTGGGCATGTGTCTCTGCCAGGGTCCTACTCGAGTGTAGGATGAACTCCTGACACCTGCCGCAGCAGTGTGGTACCCTAACTGAAGCTGAAGACAGGACTGCAAAGGTGTCAAAGCCAGGTGTGCCCTCTGGCATTTTAGGAGGTGTGCTGGATGACCCTTGACCCCCCCCTTCCAGCCCTACAATCCCCTGACACCAACCGCCTCCCTCTGCTGCTGGGAGGGGGCGTGGCCAGGGTGTGTGGGCGGGGTCAGCTCACCCCCCCCCCTCAGCCAGCCCAGTGGGACCGGGACAAGGGGCCCCAATCCAGCCTCCCTTGCCCCCGCTACCTGCATAGGGGTGCTTTCGGCTGACAGGGAGGTGAAGCCCACGATGTCGCTGAAGTAGATGGTCACGCAGTCAAAAGCTTCAGCCTGGACTGTCTCGCCACGCTTCAGCTGCTCTGCCACCGAGCTGTGGGGGGGAGGGTACACAAAGTGAGTCACTGAGCCGCTGGCCGACCCCCAACCCCTGCGCACCCATTACTGTGTGGGCAGGTGAAGGTGGGCCTCTGGGGTGGGCATCTCCCTCAGTGCAGCAGGCAGGCGGGCGAAGGCAAGTACCCAGCTTCAAGGTGGCCCCTGATCTTCTCCCCATTGAATTGGGTAGGGGGCAGCCTGGGTTAAAGGTAAAGATTAAAGGGACCCCTGACCAGTCGTGACCGACTCTGGGCTTGCGGCGCTCATCTCGCTTTACTGGCCGAGGGAGACGGCGTACAGCTTCCGGGTCATCTGGCCAGCATGACTAAGCCTCTTCTGGCAAACCAGAGCAGTGCACGGAAACGCCGTTTACCTTCCCGCCGGAGCGGTACCTACTTATCTACTTGCACTTTGAGGTGCTTTCGAACTGCTAGGTTGGCAGGAGCAGAGACCGAGCAATGGGAGCTCACCCCGTCGCGGGGATTCGAACCGCCGACCTTCTGATCGGCAAGTCCGAGGCTCTGTGGTTTAACCCACAGCGCCACCCGCGTCCCTTATAGCCTGGGTTACCGGGTAGGATATTTTGGAGGAATAGTGTAAGATGGCCTGCTTTGAAAGGTAACGGATTGGGGGGGTGGTGGCTGGCGGAATTCAGTTGATTAGGGAAATTTAAGTAATATGGGGGGGGGACACTGAATGGAAAGGGAAGTGGGGCGGGCGGGCAAGGTGCCAGTTAGCCAAGGGATTTATTTTGGGGGATTTGGATAGAGATCTGCTTGGCTTACTAATCCAGCATCTATACCTATGAATTGGCACTTGCCTGGTGCCACCTCTGCCTGCCTGGCTGGGTCCGCGTCCCACCCCCACCCCACCCCCCACCTGTGCCCCCCACCCACCCCAGCGACTCACTGGGGGAGGATCTGGTAGAGCAGGTTCTCGGCCTTGCGCTTCTCCTCCAGGTAGGCCTGGGTGCGCTCCTCCACCAGCTTCTCCAGGTTGTTGGCGTACTGCTCCATGCGAGAGAGCAGGTTGTCCAGGATGCTGGCGCTCCCTTCCCTGCGGCAGGAAGTGCGGGTGAGGGGGGCAGGGGCTCCTTCCCAGGCACATCGGGGTGGGGG